GTTTTGCCTTGGCTTGTGGGCATGTGGCCAGGAGAGAAGAGTTACAGTTTGAATCACTTTACCTGAAGTTTGGCTAAGAAATTAAAAATATTTTGTGCTCTGTTTTAAACACTTTGGTACATGCCTACACTAACCATGGATCCCCAGCTGTGCTATTTCAGTGTTTCGTGTTCCCTGAGTTGCCTTATGTCATAACTGTCTATTAAATGGATCCTATCATTCGGGTTTTCTCACCAGGAAGCCCACGTGGGCCCAGATGGGCTACCCTGCTTCCGTTTCCAGAAGCTGGCTTGTGTGTTCATTTGTTTCTCTCCCTCCTTCTTAACATGGGCATGTCTCTTAGACAAGTGCCGTCTAACAGAAAAACACATCTTTATTACGTATTCTCCCTGTGTGTCCTCCCCTGCATTGTGCCACAAACACATCTAAGTATAGCCTTGGTGTGCTGAATTGTCTCTAAAGCCCATGAGTCATTCCATCCCTCTCCAGCAGTAAAGAAGTCAAGGAGAAACAAACCCTATAAACCAAACAGATAGAAAGAACATACACATCTTCAGCCTCAGCTAGAACAGCCATTGTTTGCACTGAAAAAGGGGCTCAAGATCATAATTTCTGATAACTGGAAGTAGTGTTCACTGAAAGAAACATGACAATGACCTTCCCATTAAATTCCACTGCTACAGCTGCTACACAAAAACATGACTTGGGTGTTGAAACATCATGCAACTAGCTTTGCTGCTAAAATGATCACTATTTGTTTTACAGTGGTTTGTCTGGGTTAATTTTGAGGGCTAGAAAAAATAATCATTATCAGGCTTAGATTTTTAGGTAAATCAGGATACTTCAGGAGGAGTATCATGAAAACTTGGTACACTGAAATGCATTGGATACTGTCCTGGTTTAGGTACAAACAAATGTAATCAAGGGGTTGGGGTTTTAAATTTATATGTGTGGTAATTTAATGAACCTGAATGGATTGCATCTCATGAATATTAAGAATTGGGAAGGAACCAAATTTAACAAAACCTGTGATACAACTTTTTATCTGTAGGACAGATTCCTATACGACATCAACTCCCACTTGCATCTGCAACCACTTCTGAGAATAGGGGTGGCTCTTTCTCCTTGGATACTCATATCTCTTTGCTGGCAGTATCAATCTAGGAGAAAGTGCCATGTGCAATCTCTCTCTCCTCACTTTTGTACATCAGCTGTGTGGCCACAATGGTGAATAAAATCCCTCTCATGCATCCCTCTCTTGTAAGTATATCCAGCACATTCCATATATGGACACTATTTAGAGAATATCTATTTTTTCAGGGAGTTTCAACACAGATTATAAATTTTCTCCTTGTTAAAAAGAGTGTAAAAAATTAAAAGAGTTTTTAGTTTAAAGTTAGGGAGCAGGAAAATTTCAGGAACATGAAAATGTAAATGCAGGTGTTTACAAGTAAAATTATTATTTTATTTTGGGGGTATAGATGAAGTCATGGAAGCAAAACTATAGAAATGCAGTTGTAAATTTCAAAACAAAAATTAAAAATAGTATTTTAGTCTCTACTTTTCCTGTGGCATGTTTGCTTTTTACCCATGCAGTATTCTAAATTTAATCTGCTGCTTTCACATTTAATATATCTTTTTTATTGCATAATCTTTGAATAATGCTAGAAATTCAAGAAAGCTAAAACACTTTTACCTGAGTGTCCGAGTTTATTTGCAGTGGTAGGTCTATGATCAATATTCTATGACTAATGTACAATTAACGTACAATGCTCACTTAAGACTGACACCTCCCAGAAGAGAGCAGCCACAAGGTCATGGGAACATAAATTACAGTTTTCCTTTATGTATAGTCATACAGGTATAATTGCTTAGCGTACTTAGCATGCAAAACACAGTGGGTTTGTTCTGAAGACTAAAAGCTTCTTGTATGATTCATCTTTTGGCAAAGGATGTTCCCTGTAAGTTGATATTTGGAGCAAGACTGCCAGGGTGTAATACAGCTAAACTCAGCATACAGAAAGTTTGTTACAATTGATCCATTTCTGTTGTTTTGATGTTTATCCAGCTGTGTGGGTGCCATTAGAAGCAAGTGACAATGTCATCAGCTTAAAGCCCTTTGCAGTTCTTGAGTTCCCCAATTCAATTCTGAACAAAATTGCAGCTGAATGGTGCATTCCAGTTAATCAGGAGTGAAGTTAGGCTGCACATGGGCTCATTGGTAATTGAAAGTAGCTGACCAACTGTCCACACCCCTGTAGAGGGGCTGAAAGTGTCGCTGTCATTAAGCACAGCCAGTAAAGTTTGGCTTTCTGATATACGTGAAAGCTGCACGCTGCAAGACAAAGCCATTCACTCATTTGTCTCTTGGACTTGCAGGGGATTAACAGCCCTCCTTTGTGTTTTTCCCCTTTTGGTGGAAAAATAAGGAGACAAGGAAGGAAAAAAATAGTCTTCAACTAATGGAATCTACCATCAACTGAAGAGAAAGACAAATAACTTGTTAGTACTTCTCCAGCAGATGAAATGGGGCAGGTTTTATATTTTAACAGCAAAATTAAATCATCAGAATCACCTTGTTATTCCCTACAAAAATCCCTGATCATGCAATGCTAAGTTATTTTGTTGCTTTTTGCTGGAGTGCGATTAAAAAAAAATTGGAAATGGGTAAATCTAATTATGATTCCATATGTGGACAGAAATTTTTCTGTCAAAGATCCTAACACAACAAAAGGCTGCAGTTCCTGACTCAGAAAGGTGTGAGATTGCTTTATGGAAAAACAAAAAAAAGGAATTAAAAAAGAAACCCAAAAAAATTTATTAAAGAAAAACCAACGGAAATCACACAGAAAGAAAAGACACAAATAGGATTCAATAGCAATACTGCAGCTAGCACAAGAATCACTGAGGACTGGTTTCAATACAGAGAAAGGAGGACACTTTGAAACTGAAGTATTAAGTCCTCAGAGTTTGAAGGGAAAGCTCTCACATCTGCTTCCCAAATATCCAAGCTATAATAAAAAGCATTTTGCAAGAAGAAAAAAAAAAAAAAGGCTTTTTAAACATTATGTAAATGGAAGTGAAAAAGTCTCCAAATGACCATTATTTAGTTCTGCATCTCAAATTATTCAACAAAATCACAGAGGCTGAATTAGGAGCTGAAGACCAAAGACAGAGGGGAGACAGAAACTCACCTACTGACATGCAGAACAGTCTCACCAAAGTAATCAGGATTCAGGATTTTCTAGAAAGGGTCATGATTTACAGAGCTATCAGAACTTATAACTGACCACTTAAGGTTGCATACAAAAATGTGCCTCTGATCTGATGATTTTGGAGTCATAGCATTCAGTTATAATACCTGTTTGTATCCTCAGGAAGGCATGGAGAGACGTGCTATTTCTACACAGACTTTCCTACCAGTAATGTAACGACCTTAGCAATTTCTGATATTTAGCATAGAAACCAGAATTTTCAGTATCTTTTTTCTTCCCCAGGGGTTGGTTATAAAAAAATAAACCTGAAAAAGAAATCACTCAAGTCATAGCTCTGTGGATGAAGCTTGTGGGGTTTTGTAGCAATGGAACCATGGATGACCAAAGGAAGAGTAAGTTACAGAAGCAATACAAAAAGAGGCCTGAAGTGGGGGTAAAGTGCCACCCACAGAATTCCACACACTGGTCTTCACTTCCTAATTTTGCTCCACTGCTATGAATTCAACCCTTGGAGTCCAGGCTTTTCTGCACCAAATTCTTTACAGCACTTTTAACACAGACCCTTTCATCATGTCTGTGCCATTTTTTGGTACCTGATTTTGTCTATGAACTCTTTGAGCCCAGACAGCCCATACCCGTGCTAGCAGGTATGAGACAGAGCTCTGCACTTCTGCCCAGAAGTTAGGGCAACACCCAGTAAACAAGCTGGGTAATTCCTTCCCCCTAGAGAATACATCATGTTGTCAATGAAGGGGAGTAGATTATGTTCACCTAAACAAAATTAAACCTAATTAATTTTGCTCCTTTAGATACCTTCCTCCTTCAGAGCTTCACCCACAAGCAAGTGACACTTCCCAGATTTGTAGAGATACGAGCAGATTTTTTAAGTTCTAGCAGGTGTTGAAACCAGAAAATAACAGCTTTACAGTCATGAACACCATTTAAAAAACCCGGTATCTCTCAACTCCTCTCTCAAGGGCACCAAAAATACTTCACATTCAAGTTTAAATTAAATTTAAATTAGTGCTTATATTTCTATGATTAAAGGGTACTAAAAGGCAAGGTGTAAATTTATCTGTAAGGCTCTGGTGCCGACAGTGAGAGGACTTCACCTGTACACCCTACACAGTCACATCCCTGAAGTCCACATGGGCCATGTAATAGTGCATAAAAAGCTGAGCAGTCTTCCCCAGCCCACCTGTACCTGTCTCTTCCATGAGGACTCATTATTTTACCAGGCATCTCTGACCTCCATCAAGAGCTCCTGCATCAGGAAAATCTCATTGTGCTGGAAGCCATAGGCAAACACAAGAAGGGGAGGAAAGCACTGCATGTTTCTGCTCCAGAGAAAGTGCTTTAAGTTGAGAGCAGACTGTGTTACCACAATGAATCCTCCTTGGTGGGTAAACTAGAAGCTTGCCCAGTAACAACGTGTAAGGTTGCTCCTGAATAAATAGAGAAAATGGCAAAAGGAGTTCTCTTGAGTCTGATTAAGATGAAGCTAAGTCTAAATGCTAAACAAAAACTTGATATATAGCAGCTGCCTGGGGGTGAGGAAGGTATATCCTGTGGAGATCATAGCTACCCCTAGGGCAAGCAGAGTGACTAAGGTGGAAAGTGGCTTTAACAGGTATCAACACACCTGTGCAATTGTTTCAGCTGGAGGCTCTTAACAAAGGAATTAATTTCAAGTGCAAATCACACTTTCAATTAAAAAGAAAACATATCACAGAGAGTGCTGATTTTAACATTTATTTTTTTTTAAATCTCCAATTACCATTTTTTTTCTACAGACTTTGTTTAACAATAGTTCAAGAGGTATTATAATGCTAACTACAGTTCGAAGGAAACATTTTGGCACAATGCAATAATAAAATAACAGAATAAATAACCTGCTTTACATATGCTGAAGAAAACAAAATAACATACAATAAACTTAATGAAATTCACACTCTATACAGCAGCTCAAGGTAGACATTACTAAACAGTACTCATGTCCTATCAGTAACATACACACATTAGTAAAAATAGAAACTTTAACAACATGCTTAACTCAAGCAAAACAGCGATGCAATATGAATCAACTCAAGAAGTGCAGTTCCAAAGAAGCCGGAGTTGGATGTGAGTGAGCACACAACAGTGTACAAATCATCTCAGCCGAGAGCCTAACCCAGTGCTTCTTCAGCCACTTCTATGTTTAGCTCCTTGCTGGAAACCGAGTCAAGCTGACATCTTCCTCAGCTTGTGGCTGTTAAAAGGAAGAGAGAACACGCATAAATAATGACCTCAATTATAGTTTTCTCTTCTTCCTTGAGAGAATAGCTCAGGTGGAAGAAGGGACATGTGATATGACTGTCCCTCAGAAGACTCCAGAAAGGATTAGCTAAATCTGACAAGAGATGGAAGGACAAATGTGTTCTCCAAGGCTGTCAAAAGTGGCATTCAGGAGATGTACGAGACAGGCTTTCATACATGCCCTGTTTTCATCAGCCTGGAGTTTCAATTCCTACCTCAGGAAAAGGAGATGTTTCTTCACCCAGCCTTCCTTAGGATTTACACAGGCCTTCAGCCCACTGGCAGTGTGGAAACTGGAAAATAAATAATAATAAAGAAATCAGAAATCCCTGCCAATAATTGCTGCAGAGAGTACAGTTACTCTATATAATGGCAAATAGAAACTGCTTTTGTAAACACCAGTTAGACATGGAATGCTCCAAATTCCTCCAATATTACATGAAGAAAAAGAAAGTTAAACATAATAGCTACTTCAGCCTCAGGGAACATTTTTTGCACCATAAATTTTTTTTTCAGTTTATTTGATCTGTTTAGGCAAAGAATTTTGCTAGATGCCAGAAACAGTTTGTAAAGTTAAGGAGAATAGCTGCTATCAAGCTAAGGTGACAGATCAACACCTAGGCCAACATCTTGTAAGAAAAATGTCCGATCCCTGTGAATTAGAAGAAGTCTTGTCACTTATGTGTCTGTTCACAGGTTTTGGCAAGGGAGCACTCTGTGTTGGCCAGAGTGGCCTTTAGCTGGAGACAAAACCTGTCTTTATTTGCACAACTGATTCCTAAAAAGTCAGAATTATTATTTACATTGTATGACTGTCCCTTGGGTTAGAGTCCCCATCAACTAGAGGTTGTGTGTTTTGTTTACAGGTGTGATATACAATTTATTCAGTTAATTTAACATTTTCAAAAGGCAGGAAAAATCACACTTTCAAATCCTTGTTTTAGCCCAAACAGACATCCCCAGGTTAATGCATGTCAGAAAAACCAGTGGAAATTCAGAAAGTAACTTACATGATGGCAGGGATGTCACAGACCTCACTGGAGAGCTGCTCAGTGTAACCCTTCAGAGCCCACCGGGGCAGACGCACTTTGGTGTAGGACAGGCAGCAATCCTGGTTGCTTTGTGCTGGAGTGAAGGACAACAACAAAGTAAATAAACCCCCTTTGGCCCACCCTGCCCTGCTGTCCAACCTCAACCATCCAGCTCCCTCATGACAGAAGAGAAGGATGAGACAGCACATTTTGCTGAAACCATTCCCTTCCAGCTCAATCTCATCCCGCTGCCAGCTGTGAGCAGCACCGGGAGCCCTTCCCAGAGCGGAATGTTCGAGGTCACTCACCTTCAGAGGTGCCCCATAGGAGCAGTGCCAGGAGCGCCAGCACACAAACCAGGACCATGCTCTTGCTGCTGTAGCCAGACATTCCCTCTCCACACACAGCTGTGCTCCAGTGAGTGCCTGGCTGCTGCCTGCTGGTCCTGCCAGCCCTGGCACACCTCCGCCTGCTTATAAAGGGGTGTCAGGAGCCATGGGAATTCACACACGGGCGGGTTCCACTGTCATCAGCGGGTTTCCCCACAGCAAATTCCATCGTGCCTGATTTGGCCCCAGCACTCCTTCCGGGTACTACAACCGGAGATAACAGTGTGCTGGGGAATATTTACATTTTTTTTTAAAGTCGCTTAAAAGATTCAGTCTAAAAGAAAAGGAAATAAAAGGCTATGAGGTAGTGGTTCTGTGGGTGAAGCACGTGTAGTTTTAGGGGTAGGAGTGTGGGTTGTGAAATGAGGAAAGTCAAATGTAGGTAACTTTAAATGTTACCTACAGAAACTGCGTGTCTGCTGTTTAATAAACCCAGCCTGGGGCACAGGGAGGTGGGCTGAGCCATCCAGATTAATTTCAGAGTGGCAAGCTCACAGCAGCTGGGTCATGAGCTGTACCAACACCAAGTACTACTACTATTAATATTTCCTGGTTGGCCAACACAGTAACATCAAGCTTTCCAGATTACTGCTTTCTGAGCTCTGTACAGTAGTATTGGCAGGAGCACATGAGCAACATTGAGTATTCATAAAAATGGGTTTGTTTAGTTTCCTTAACCGTATATTCCCTGCCATGACTTCCTGTCAGTTTGTTACATGTCTGAACTATTTAATCTAAAGCAGAGTGAGCTTAAAAGAAACTTAAAATGGGGCCTATATTCTCCAAATCTGTGCTTTCTAGAATGCATTAATGCATTTCATAGACAATAGCTGTAGTTTGTTGCTTTCCCAAACAGTACCACAGTATTGTGACTCCTGAAATTCAGTACAAATACACACAATCTTAAAATTGCCTCGCACAGCTCTAGAGACACCACCAGGGAGAGGCTCTGTCACCAGTCCAAGTACCTTGTTTGAGCTGCTACTGAAGGATGGTACTTTCCCAAGCTTTTTAGGGATCTGTGTGAAAATACTATGATGGCTGCAGGCCATGTCCTGGCCAGCCAGTGTACACAGGAGCTGCTGCCAGCTCCAGGTGCTTGTTGAGTAAATTGAGCTTTAAGTGGCTTCTCTTAAGGTAGAGTTCATGGACAGTCATAGGCAGTGCATAATTACATGCCTTCTATCCTCCACAGAGTGCCAGTACCTCTCTCAAAAGGTGTGTCCCTATTATTACTCTGTAGAAATGGAAACAGCTTGTTTCCAAACAAAGGAGATTGTTATCTTCTTTGTTTAATTAATTTCTCTATGTAATAGGGAGAAATGAGGGAATTTCATATGGCTGAGTATACGTGAGCAGCACATATACGTGCTCAGTATACATATACAGCAGTGTGCATGGCATCACATATACTAGACATGCTTCTCTGCAGAGCCACAGCAACTGCCTAAAAGATGGGGAGGAGACAACAAAGAACCCATGCCCTAACGTATACAGTTTTTGTAACTGTTTTATGGATCACAGTGAAATGCCACAAAAGTACAAAAGTACAAAAATATCAATTCTCTCAGTATGCAGCTATCTCTGCACTGCTTTAAAGACAATCTGTCAGCATTAGGCAGTGCCTCAAAGGAGCTGACTAGAATGGTAGTTTTTTCTTTTGCATACAGATTTCACGGATCCCAAATCTATTACACCTACACCAAATTTTGGTGCTTTGTATGCCATTTCCTAGGCCATACTGTTATCCAGAGGCCTTGCACTTCAAGTCTTCCTCATGACTTTACAGCTCTATTTCTTCTCCATTCAGTGCTTCTTGGACAGAATCATCTCATCTGAGCTTTGACACTTCTACCTAAGCACCAGCAGTATGGATACCACAGCAAGACACTACTCAGGCAGTTCTCACCCTGTAGTCCTGCCCTCAGGCAGTTTTCATCACACCAGTGGTTCCCACAACTGACCATGGTTGGCAATGCGCCTTGTCACAGCTGGGCTCATGTTCATGGTGTTCCTTTTATCTCATGTTTTGTTTGATTTAGGAAATTGGGTCAAGATTTAGATTTAGAACAACAGCCGCAAGAAGGGTCCCAACTTCAGAAGCACTGTCATTTTGTTTGTACTTGTGTACAAAGTACCTTCAGTTTATTTGCACAAAGTAGTTAAAACAATCCAAAAAGGTTTAATGCAAATAGCTGAAGAACGCTCTGCTGGTTTTGATATGACAAATAACTGTATCTTACCAGTCTTTACCTTCACAAACCCCTAATGCAAGCAAAAAGCAAAAAATATCTATAAAAACAGGGAAGTGCTTATATGTTCCAATTAAGTGTTTTTCATTATTCCCTGGCAATGAGGGGACAGTGACTGTTGTCCACCCTGACACAACCAAACTTTCAACCTGGTTTCCTTTGGCACCAGGACCAAGTGGGGCCGTGTGGGCTGACCAGGGACTGCCACACAGCCAAGAGATGAGGCTGTCAGGCCCCAGCATGGCCAGTGGCACCTTCAAACCTGTTCCTGGGTCAGTTACAGGTGCCATATAAACATGTTTAGTGTCTTAACACTACTGCAGTTCACAGGCTTCACACTGAGGGGGCCACCAGGTCAAGGGAAGCTATCATGTCTCTGCCCTGGGCCTTTGTGGGGAGGGCTGTGGCCAGAGTCTCCTCAGAGGGTACAGCCAAAGCATGAGAGGTTTTCATCTCTCAAGTCACAAACTATGAAAAGGGAAATTTCCATCAGACATAAGGAAGTCCCTTCTCCATAGAGGGGGAAGCACTGGGACAGGTTACCCAGGATGGGATGTGAAGCCTAGTTTGAATACCCTTGCAGATACTCAAGTTGGATGTGGCCTTTCCATAAGCATGATCTTAAACTTGGGTTCCTTCCCAATCCACAATCAACCCTACATTATTTATTTTTTTTTTCACATTTAGCTGCTTGTTTCTTATTTTAGTTCCCTGACTTATTTGTCTTCCTGACTTTGGTGTAAGCTGCTCAGCTCCCCTCCCTCCTGTTGTCCCTCCTCAGATCCCCTCACAACAACTGCAGCCACAGTAAGGCAGAGCAGCAAAACACAGACTGATAAAGTGTTCATCCTCTCCTAAGCTTCCTCTCCCATTGTTCCAGGGGCCAGAGAAAACAGGCTCAAACCCCTTCTGTGTGTATAACAAAAGATGGGGCAAGGACAGCCAAGGTGCCATTGTGGCAGAGCCATCCAGTCAGACCTAAGGAAGAAGAAGAAGAAATGCATCAGGGAAAACTGAGCCTTTTCCCAAGTAATACTGGGGAACTGACAGTTCTGGGCAGTTTGGGGGTGTTAAAGAGGAGAGCTGGGGTGTCAAACTGCTCTCAGACACCATCTACAAAGCTACAGCCAGAGGCAACTTTCTCTGGTCACTACACTGTTGCATCCTGATATTACACTTCCTCTCTTATATCCCAAAGGACTTTTAGTCACAGAAGTACTTGCTGAAAGTCTGAAGTGTTGAAGAGGACTTAATAGTTAAACCTAGATAAACAACCCCAGACAGGGCAAAAAATTTGGTGGGGCCAGGGAGGAGGGGGCAGGAGGGGCTTGCCACATCATTCTCCTCATCATGGAAAAACACAGGAGCAGTCTACCTGGTTTCCATGCAATGGTTAAAATACTTCATGGATTTTTGAAGAGAAGGGCAGAGAAGGAATTTTATAATCATTAACAATTTAATTATTGCCATTTTATGAGTTTAGGTCTAACATTAAAAATGAAAGATTAAAATAAAAAATGTGAATGTCAGGCACCATCATTACCTTTACCTGTGCCCTCCAATAAGATGAGAAACATACAGTTGTTAATAAACTAGCAGTTAACAACAGATTCCATGTTTTGCATCCTCACAAAGAGATATTGTTTTATTGCATATTAGTACCTTTTCTGAATTGATGTAAATAAAGTCTTTAAAGTCTTACAGCAATACAGCTGATCCAGGAAAGCCAGAACCAGACCGGGGAAATTCCCTTCTGTAATTTCCAAAGGTTTAGGACTCCTTTGATAAAGCAAAGGGCATGAGAAGGCAGTAGCGGAAAGGAACGTGGCCAAATACGGGGATTTAATCATGGCATAATCTCTGATGAGTAAATGCATAATTAGTCCTAAGCACAAAAGTTCCAGAGGTAACTTGCTCAGTATCTATGGAGCTTTAGAGTCTGTGATGCAATCCAGTGATTTCAGGCTTGCATGACTGACAAAACTATTTATCTCAGGAAGAAGTCAATTTTCACTAATTATAGTCTGCACTTCATAAGTTACAGATCTAGAAATACCATTTAATGACATTGCTGTGATGCAATTATGGACAAGATATGTGCCTGTTAGGAGAAATAAACGTCCCATCTATCGAAAGTGCAGGTTATGAGGAGACCTGGTGCACCTGCCATGAACATCCTGGCAGCTGTCCCAGCACTGCTGATTGCTTCCTGCTACCTACATATAGAAGCTAAATATCCAGTGTTCTGAGGTCAGATTTCTCTCTGCAGAGTTAACTGTATTCTGTCTACAGTTGCTTGGGGTAGCCAACCACCTTTTCACAGAAATGGACCTCTCAAATGTGATGGCAAAACCTATAATTGGAAAGAAGAATGAAAAAATAGTCTTCATTGGATTTGTGTGGCAGGGTTTTGGTAGTGTGTAGGCACTAGTGGTGGATTCTTTGCTACAATCTTTCCCATGTCTGCAGAGGCAATGCCAGCTGACTCCAAGGAAGGACTCAGTGGACAAGGCTGAGACCATCACTGACAGTGGTATCATCTCTGGAATAATGTATTTAGGAAGGGGGAAAATCCCCTGTACAACTGCAGCCAGAGAGAAGAATGAGTATATGGAGGATGGATATATGAAACCACCCTGCAGACCCCAAAGTCAGTGCAGAAGGAAGGGCAGACCTGCTCCAGGTGCCAGAGCAGAGATTCCCCTGCAGCCCGAGGTGAGGCAGCTGTGCCCCTGCAGCCCATACGAGAGCAGAGATCCACCTGCAGCCCCTGGAGTACCCCACGGCA